ATAGTAAGCACATAATAAAAAACCTTGGTACTCTTCTCTTGGTATATTCTACTGTGTCGAAATTCACCATGTCCATATTTTGATGTCCCGAGATGTTTGAGAGTCGCAACATCGAAATTCGCTGGAAGATCTTTAGCAAAAATGCATAATTTTGGGGTAATTTACTAAAGTAAATGTACATTAAAACGCATTAGCGATACAGGCGCGCGAAATTTCGTAGAGCGTGTGTGACGGTCTTCGGTGTTTCTGACCTAAATGTGGAAAAAAATCAAAAGATATGAATCAGTTAATATACATATATTTGCACTCGTACGAAAAGTTATGCGCTTTATACCTCGTGACTGTACTATGAAATTCAAGTAGCTGTTCGGGCATGGCCGTCGGTGCTCCACCTGCGTTTTGCGATGGCATCGTTTTGATAGCTTCTTCCAACCACTTTGACATGAGCTATGAAGAGATATAAAATAAACTTCCGCACGAGATGTTGACGATATAAGATTAAAAATGATAAAACGGATTTTACATCTGTGTGACTTCGCGTAAGTTCGATAATGACATCCGCCACGTCGGACAGCATGTAAGAAGACAAATCAAATACGGAGGCGTGCAGCAATTTTATGACTAATGTTTGGCCTTTCTCTTGCAATATATTTTGCACCAGTTGTCGCCGTATCGTGTAATCTGACCGATCCTGATACAGAAAAAAATGCACGTAATTAATTCATGCACATTGCGTACATATGAATTTTTATTAATATTTAAGACTTAAAAAGGCTACCTTACAGCTGCGACCGCTGTGTAAAAGATCGTAGAAAAACTTCATTACTGAACTATTCGCGTCCCTGTGATCCAGGCTGCACGCCATTATAGCGCAGTCTACGATGCTCCCAATAATGGCAGAATGTAATAAAGGGATAGGAGCTCTTTGAAGAAATCTTTTTCAAAGAGGAAAAACGAAACGTTAAGCAATAAAATCATTGACGGATAATATTATCGTCGAATTAATCATTACAATACCTGGCACACAGCCTAAACAGATCGTCCACCGTGTCAGGGTGATTTTTCAAGCCGTCTTCCTGTTCGAGCAGAGCGAAGGTGGGACAAATAAAAGCTTGTAACATATTTAACAAGTTCCATATGCATTCCGAGTCGGTCGCGTACTCGTCCACCAATATAGAGCCGAGATACAAGAAACAACTATGTTGCTGTACGTTGTACAGCAGTACGATCTGTGCGCAGAAAGATAAATTATACATGCATCAAGTGTGGACAATAAAGACGCGTTACCGTTAATCCATCTCGTACCTGCTTCACAATCGGGTCGAGCAGATGCGCAGAATGTTTGCCTACGCAGCGCACTGCAAAGCGTATGCAACGGCAACATCTCTCCATAACTCTCACGTCTCGTTGATACACCTCGCACACATTTGACAATACTGGCCACATCTATAAACATACATGAACAATGAATGTGAATGCCATCCCGTCATCGGCGAAAAGAACTTTTAACGACATTCACTTCGGTGATTACGCTCTGACAAGGATGAGGTTTATTCGAATCATCGATTTGAGGATTAGTGTGCTTAAATATAGCAGCTAATCTATCCAACCATATCACAGGATCAGTCTTTGTTCCTCTCTCGATTGGAATTTTATCCGTGAGAAGCGCCCACAACGAGCTTGCTTGAAAGCAGCACAGTTCCTTCATCGCCGGTGTGATTTCCTCGGGCGGTAACCTTGCCAAAATTATCGATACTCCTATCACGACATACATATAATAAATAGCGCTTTGCGTTCGATTCTGTTATCGTGGAAAGATCAATGGCTGGACAATCAAATCGTGTGTCTTAATGTAATTGAAATAACGCAATCTGTCAAATACCTTTCAGAAGGCCAATGGCTGCGTCATTACTGATAGGAAAGTTGTCGAGCGAACGTGCTATTTGCAACAGTCCGGAAAAGTGCGACGCCATGTGCAATGGGCAAGCTGAGCATATGCTCAATAGCGCACCCGAGGCGGCGGTTCCTAAACCCGTTTGATTTAAACATGCTAAGAGGAAATTTAACACTGGCTCTGAAATGATGAAGAGTACATTAAAAAAATGATATTGAAATACATTATTTAAAATAATTGATGTGAAAGGCTCCAGTGATTAACAAAATCAAATAAAATTCAAAAGGAGCGTAAAGAGCCACAATGCAGGTTCTTCGTGCGAAGGTTACTGTATTCTCGTTTAAAATCACATTATTTAAATTAACGAGACGCTTGCCAAAATCTCACCTAACGATTGCGGATGCCTATCTATCCATTCGCATAGCTCGCCTAACAGGAGAATGCTGGTGTATCGCACGGCTATATGCGTGTTTTCTGGTAAATTAAGAATAGCTTCCACCACTTTTGGTACTACATCATTTTCTTCTCTGTTGTACGAAAGTTCGTCGTTATTTTTAGCTCCTAAGTACTTGCGTTGATAACGAATATAGAAAGGACATACGGCAGGATGTTCTTTGCCACCGCTTGCATTACAAAGAGCGCAGCCTCAGTCGAGTCCCACGTAGGCGTGTTTATAGGTTGACCCTGCGGCCCGGGGCCTCCAGTCAGTGACGAGAACATTTGTCGGAAACAGGTGCTACTCCCGACTACGAACACCACGTCCTTTATCAAGTCCGACACGCGATTTCTGAAGTCGGCAAACTCTTCTCCACCTCCGCCTTCTTCCACGAGACCCAACTGCAATTGATGTGTAAATTTTATACTTATTAATCTGTGCGTTAATTTAAATAGCAGCAATTTCAACAAGTACTGACATGGTCCGGTTCCATTTGACAGTGCCTGCAGAGGGCAGCGATTAGTCTCTCGATATGCGGCCGGAATACGGCGTTAAGATCGTCGTAATTTTTCTGATAAAGAATTTCCGACAGCCGATACCAGAGGTTAAACGTTATTTGCGCGACCTTAAAAAAGAGGAAATTATTAAATGTTAATTCGTATTTATCTAATAACACTGAATATATGACTTTGATGGTACCTCATAATCGTGATGACCAACGCATGTGAGAACAAGGTCTAAAATCTTTATAGCATAATGCTGCTTTTCATTCTCACTACCTATTATCATAGTTTCTAGAAACGTTTCGGCCAACTCCGTGAATATTCGACAATAATTGATAGATCTGCAACAGATTCAATGACTAGATTCATGCTATAAACACACTCGAGTAGACCAAACAATTTACTTTTCCATGTCTTCGTGGGCAACAGATAAGTGATATGGTTGTTCTAAATTCATTACACTTGTAAAAAGACACAATTGCAGCTGTTGCAATTGCACGCTTAGTTCGTTGTCACTACCGCGATTGGTACTGCTCTCCTCTCCTAGCGCCTGCAAAATTACGCAGATGCAGTCAGTGGCCACTTCGTGCAGTTGGGAGCCAGCCATGTGATTGCCTAGTATCTGGAAGAAAAAGTTGTTTGATAAAGGAAACAATTGCTTCTTCTGGAAACTTATTGTCAACTTTGACAGACTCACTTGCAAAGCATAAGCGACTACATCGCTCGAGGGTACAGCTTCGAGCGGTATTGCATGGACAGTTATCCAACTAGTAAAACATCGCAAAATAGTGACTCGGATTTGTACATTATCACCGCCATCTTTTAAGCACATTTTCTGCAATGACACTACATGTGAAATATTGAATAACTAATGTTGAAAAATATTAAAGAAAACTGATATTAAAAATGCGCAGATATCCATACATCGTGTATAAATCAAATTATTATTTCATCGATGATACCATAAATTTATTATAGAAAACAATTTCTTAAAGAGAATTATGATATATGATACTATTATTGTACATACCAGAAATTCTGTCACAGTATCTGCACTTGCGTTAAGTTCGAGTAATATATGTTGTCTATGATTAGCTCCCAGCCTATACAGAAAGTAAATAATGTTGATTCTTTTTAGCTGTCATTTTTTTATGGTAACAAATAAATATTACACTGTACCTAAGTGATCTAGAATTTACTTCCTCTGGCAGCACTGTCATTATTTCAAGCAATGGCCAGAGATTTGCACTGCATACGCCAAACCTGTTAATTAAATCTACTACTGGTTTTTGCCATGAAGACATTTGCAGAGCCAGGTCTGCTAGTGCTAAGCATAACTGTGAACATACAAATTTAGAATTGTTAATAAAATTCACTCCACTAAAAATAGTCTTCGATGCACTAACAAACAGCAAATAAAAATTTAAAGGCAATTTTATAAGAGAATAAAGTATAGAAAAGATATAAAGACCTGAGTAACAATGGCAGAATTAGTATGTTCATTGATTTGCGATATATGTTCCATCAATGAATCTCTCAATGAAATATGAGCTTCTTGGGGCAATTCATGAAAAGACAGTTGGATTTTGGTACGCATTGTTTGTGCAGCAAAATAACAAGACTCTATGTTCCGTTTTTGATGCAACATTTCATCAGCTATCTTCCATGCAAATACCTATAGAGAAACATAAAAATATATACATAATAAATTCTTATTACTATAAAACCTGAAATATGACATATAACTTTATCTTGCGAGGTCAAATAATATCATATGTCACAATTGATCATCGAATGATTGATAAAGATCTCTCTTTTAATCTTGAAAGACATAAACGAGAGATACAACATTGTCAGTTTAATGTCTAATTTAGATTGTTTATTTTGCAATGTAATGATATGTAAAATATATTCTTTTTGCAGTGATAACATCCTCCCAAGGAAGGGTTAGAAAGCAACTTCTCAACATACTCCCATTTTGGATGACAATAACATAAGTGCACTCAGGAATATGCAGGTTTGTATATTATATGGCATAAAAGTGCAAACAATTATATTCAGAAGAGATACGAGAGAATTAATTTCGTGATTAAAAACGTCCGGATAAGCTCACCGATTTTTGCAACTCTCCTAGCCATAACGACGCTTTTCCTGACTCGGCCGGGTTTGTATTACGATACAAAGAGTACACGGCCTGGTAAACAGTTTCCAGGCTCGGCGGCGAATCCATGCTTCAAAAATACTCGTACACCGCGAAATCTCCATACAGTTGACTTCCGGCTGACAAACGGATACACTCACGCGGCTGGCAGCAGCTGGACGTTTCTCGTTCCGGTCCTAAGAAATTAACCTCTATTGGATAAAAGACGATTTATACTACGAGTGCAGCGACTGTAACGCTTGCTACGGATTTTATAAAAACTGAAAAGGTAATTAAAATATTGATGATAATATAGATATTTGCTTAATCATCAATTGATAATTCAAAGTTTTCATTGATTTTTTCATTAATTTGTTTATAAAACCTAAACAAGTTTCTAATATTTTTTATTTTTTATTCTATGTCTCATTAACATATTGGATAGATTTTTTATTATAAAATATTTCGACTCCTATTTCCATGGCACTAAAGTGTTGTTTCCATTCTAGATATTCTATGCTCAATGAGTCAAATATGTTTTTGTAATGTGGCAGGCGATTGACAGTTTTGACTGTCAGAAGAACGGAAATTTCGTACGACTTTAATCAACGATGAGTGATTATAAGATACCGATAATCGAACCAACCATAGATTATTCAAAGGTGTTAACAATAAAATATTAAAGCTTCTCGTGCATGTCACATAGCATTCTTCGAAAACGATAACGCCTGTTTGAAACGTTGGCAATTATCAATGCAGAAAACAAGTCTGAAATGATTTGTATTTTAGGTACCACCAATCAACCAAAAGCGGACGGTCTCTTTTATAAATCATTTTATTACCCATACTGTTACGTTCCTAAATAAATTCGCCTTGTCCTGCGAGGAGAGACTGTTTGAGTTCGAAAATAAGTTGCAAAAGTTAGAAGCGTCGTTAGAAATACTAGAATCGCGGGTACGTAAATATTTTTGCAAGCAAAAGGAATTGTAATTAAATAATTTTCTCTGCGATAAATTAACTTGCATATAGAACCTGACATTTTTTAAATATTTTACTTTGTTTCTGCATAGTTATCTTCTATACCTGGTTTAGAACAAGAACATCATAAAGAACCAGACAATGTTAGTGAAAACAATACAAGTAAATTAGATGAGGTAGAAATACGCAAAGTGGATGAGCCTGACAATAGTGAAACAAGGCCTAAAGATGAAGAGGAAGAAGTACAATCTGCAGCTAAAGATCCTCGGTATGAAAAATACTTCAAAATGTTACACTTTGGTGTACCGAAACAAGCAGTTAAATTAAAAATGGAACAGGAAGGACTGGATGCATCCGTATTAGAGTAAGTTTGAAGTTTTTTTCTTATACAGATTATTATATTCGTTATATTAATCAATATTATTGACACATTTTTACTTCATATCAAATAAATTAAACGTCAGAACACTCGCCTAAATGTTGGCCATAGAATTTGTTTAAAATCTGTTGCTGCAATCATAAGCACATATTGTTTAAGCAAAAAATGCGAATATTCGATATTGAATTAAGCTTTAATATATGTAGCATAACACAAACATAATATTCAAGTAATTTGAATATTTTTTTTTATTTCGTTAGCAATCCACAACAGATAGTTTCTGTACCACAATCATCAGATAACGGTGAGAATCAAGGTGAATAGGTATTAAGATATTAAATGCTATTTATTTAGGCATGCTTAACATTTTCACATTATAAAAACAGGGATTATTAAAATAAACATGTGTATAAATCCAAATAGATTTATTTTGCATTTTTTTAATTAAATACAGAATGCAGAATGTTAAATGATTAACTTTAGAACTGAATCATTTGTCCCTGAAACAAACAATAGTAATTTTGTTAATCGATATTAATTCAATTTTGTTTTGTTTGTTTTACTTTCTATGTTTTGTACTCACCTTCCTTTTCTTGTCACCACCTAGCTCGAAATGCTTGCATCTTTTCAATGGAATTTGTTTTCTATACTTGCATTCTGTACATTCCATCCTCAATACAATTTTCTTTGTGGTCTTTGCCTAAAATCATAAAGTATATTTGATAAAGAACAGAAATAACTGTTGTGCTTTAATGTAATATTAAACACGCATCTATTGCCAATATTATTGATTATAAGCTGAATTAGCTTTAATAAATAAGTAATATTGGAGATTATCAGAGTAAAGTAACATCCATATAAGATCTTATGTTAATAAGAAGCTACAGTAGCATTCTTTAATTATATTATTAAAAAAAAGTTTGTGTTATGCATCGAGCGATATGCATTCTCGTACCTTCTTTCTGAAGATTGGTTTTGTTTGACCACCAAATCCTTGCTGTTTACGGTCGTAACGCCTTCTGCCCTGCGAGGCATGCCTCTCCTTACTTTTCTTGTACTGCGTCACTTTATGAGTCTTGTGTACCTTGCATTTTTTGCAAAAAGTACGCCTTTGCTTCGGCACGTTAACCTATAAATGACAAAGTGCACAGAGTTTTAATAGATATCAGGTCACAATTTTTCTGAATAACGATTGATTTATTTTTGAAGCCCATCTTGTTTAAATAACTTATGACATTTAATTAAACGCTTACGTGCGTTAAATCAAAACATTTACGTTATAATTTACACTGCATGTTCTGGTAAAAAGGTTATGTTTCGTCGCGACAGTCACAATCATTGCGCGTATGATTAATACTTATAACAAATGCCGACGAATATTATCAAAATTTTAAGACCTGTTTCGCGATAGTTTCGGAATAACGATCCTCGATATATCCGCGGATAAAAATCTGTAAAAATCCTATGTTGACCTACCATCTTGAACGGTTCGTGAGAAAAGAGTAACGTGAGGAAACGTCGTCCGACCGGAAATCGAAACGGCTGCGGAAATCGAGCGGTGCGCTTGCGCACACGCTTGTGTTGCTACAACAAATCCAGAAACCTTGAATATATTTTTTTGCGCACACGTATAAATATTAATACTACGACTGATATTATAACATTCTAGGAATCATAATCGCGCGTAAAATTATCGCGTAAAATTATCGAAAAAAACGCGTGTAATACTGGAAACATTCATTCAGGCGTCGCAAAATCGCGGAATTACGCCATTAGTACAGCCGGCATCAAAATTGGTATATAAAACATCCAATCAATAAGTGTGATCTTATATTAAGCTATCCTTTATTATTTGCGTTACGCGGGATATAAATAAACGAGCAATTCGCGACGGAATTAGCCGTACAACTCGTCTAACGATCCTACGTGATGAATAATCAACGCACAATTGCCCCCACACGCGGCGTCTATACGTGTACTAAACAATAAATATATATCGGTTTTAAGAGGAGGGTCGGGGAAAGCGTCTTTGTTTTCGTTTTCGCTGATATACGACGCTGCGCAATAAAAATATATTTATTAATGTTTCGACTGTAACGGGATGAAAGGGCAGTAATTCTCTCACTCATAATTAAAATAGACGCATGACACAATTGCAATGAACGAGCGTCGTACCGTTCAAAGACGGATTCGGACGTCTTGGGGTAAAAAAAATTCAGGGGTTATATTCTTGCATTTCGACTGCCAGGTGCGCGTCTACATGATTCGGCACCATTCCTTCTATCTATAGATTAATCCGTGCCACACATACGCTCTGCTAAGTGTGGAACACGTGCGGGCGGCGTGAAACTTTAATCGGCGTGAATCGGCTCGGCCGAATACCGAGTGATCGGTCCTACGCGCGATCATTTCGCGGTCGTACGTTCGCTTGAATGGGATATCTATCGATTTTTTCGCGAGCACACGGTACGCCTAAAATCTATGTAGAACGTGTCGCAGCGCTAAGGCTTATTTGAATCGAGCGACATAGCCTCGAACCGGACGGCTCACTCGGGCCACGAACTCTCGAACCCCTCGTCCTCCGCCAGTTTTAATTTTATTCACACTCGGTGCGGACGCGTCACGTGTGAAAGCCCTTCGAGAAGTCGCGAAATATCGTGCGCCGTTGTAAAATTGCTAATTACACGCGGTAACATCGGTGTACGGGTGATCGCATCGTCGGCCAATCAGGGATTTATCGTCTTTCAAACCCGCGCCATCTTCATTTTTGAACAAAGCCAGGTTGGATGTGCTAGAAGCGTGCCGGGATCGGGTAGTAGTTCGCTTTGCGCTATTCGCGCCACAGTCATCGGCACACGCTCCACTCCTGACTGGTTCGAACTCCTCCGCCTCTCACCATCCCCCTCTCTCTCGCACGCATACTCTCTCTCTCGCTCCCTTGTCTCCCCCCTCCTCTCCATCGGTGTCTCCCTCTCCCTTCGCGGGTCTTCGCCTGACGACGCGGTTCTCTCGGGCATTCCGGCGGAAACCGACGTCGCGAAAGGACACGTATTCCGTAGTCTCGTTACGCGTACACGCCGCAGTCGCCGCCAACGCCGCCGCCGCCGCCGCCGCCGTCGCCGCCGCCGCCGCCGCCGCTCTCATTCGTACTCCGAGTTCGGTACGAGTCGCGAAGCCGGGCTATCTTCTGGATTATCGACGCACATTACACATCGTCGCTGTCCAACGATTCAACCCACAACCATGAGCACTAAGGAGAATAACGAGGTCGCCGTGGAGAAGGTGACGGAAAACGATAAGGCGTCCGCAGACGCGAAATGCGACATAAAAGGCATCAAGAGGCCAGCCGAGGTGAGTACAGCCGCTTTCATGTTTCGACCTGACGATCTTCTCTCGCGCGAGTCGATTTTTCATCCGCAATCTGTCCATTTGTCAATCGTCGTCGATTCACGATCTCAACCGAGTCATAATACGGGGCCGTGAAGCATGCTCGCCGTGAAGCGCGCGCCACGCCGTCGTCTCGCCGCCGTCGGGCAACGTTGATCGGCATCGCGACGCGTTCCGAAATCGCCCGTCGCCCGCGGCCTTCCGATGACCGCCGATACTGAATTTTTCCCGCCTACGTAGCGTCCACTGCGGATCATCGTGTCGTGATCATACGTCGTGGCGTATACAACGTAACGCGCGTATCGTAATGTATCTCTCTCGTGCGAGTCCACGCCGTTGTGTCGCGACGGCGACATGGCACGGCACAGCACGTAGCGGCGAGAACGCCGCGCCGGCCGGCGTTTCTTCGGCGGACTCCATATTCCCTTGGTGCGAGCGACCCCCGAGAGCGTGAGTCGAGCACGCGCTCGATCGGACGCGCGCTCGTGTGCAGAGTACATCTTTTTCGGCGCGTAGTGTTTTTCACGCGCTGCGAGCGCGTAGAGCGCGCGAGGGACGCCATTGTATATTTGTGAGGCCATTGCGAGCGCGACAAGTCTCTCCGTCTTTCTCACTCTTTTTTTCCTCACCGCTCGTTCGATGGCTGACGATAATTATAATGACGACGGCAATGACGACTCTTATACGGAATCGTCTATAATTATCGCATTTCGCATTGGAAGTTGAAATTCGAGGCAACGCCAGAGCTTACGTGTTCGCGCGCGCATAAAAAGGAATGGAGAGGGAGGAAGAGGAGAGAGAGAGAGAGAGGGAGAAAGCGTTACTCTCAGCATTAGATAAGCGGAGAAAGAGGGAAAGAATGAGAGAACGAAGTAATGCTGGGGAAAATCTCTCCGGTTGTCGGCGCATTTGCTCCTTTTTTCGTCTCGTGCTCGATTTTCACATCGCATCCGGCGAGTTCGTCTTCTCGCGGCTTTTCGGCCATGCGCCATCTGCGCCTAATGCACGCACGCACGCCGTCGCTTTTACACATTGCGACCTCGTGCTCCGGCGTGCCGCTCGCTGATCCGACGCCATTTTTATGTGCCAATGTCAGGCGTCACGTATCCGGAAAATCCGGGCGTCCCGCGCATTTTTCCGCAAACAGTCGCCACCATTTGCCGTCACTATCACCGTCATTCGTCGCTCTGTCGGTTTCCATTATGGCGACCGAAACCAAGCCCGCGTTCATCACTCGTCTTCTCTCTCTCTCTCTCTCTCGCTCTATCTTTCTCCATCACGCTCCCACGCGTGCACGCTCTCTTTCTATCGTAATTGATCGATAATTCGCTATAAGAGGGTTAATCGTACATGACGGTCGATCGATAGACAACCGACGCATATCTACTCGTGAGACGACACGTTGCCCTGAAATTGTTTACCGATCTGCGTGCATAAACAGCGAACGATGAAGGCTTCCTTTTCTCTCACTCTTGTACGGTCTCTCCCCCTCCCTTATCTTTTCTCACTCCCTCTCTCTCTATCTCTCTACCTCGCTTCCTCTCTTTCCGTCCTCGGCGCTGCCGATGTATAGCGGCGGCGGCTCATTCTATCTTTCTCCCTCTCTTTCTATCTTTTCGTTGAAGGTACCCCACTTGCCCAGCTAGCGGCAACGCCGTGCATTATATACCCGGTGTGCGCTCCTGCCTCCCTGTTCTTTTCGCGGCTGTTGGCGGCGGCGTGTTACTACGAACCTTCGAGAAAACATCGTTGCCGCGATTTTTCATCTTAAATCGCGGCAGCGCCGGTCGGCCGCGCCGCGCCGCGCGTCGGGCGGGTCGCCCGATAGGCTTATATTTTTAGCCGATAATTTACCGTACGATTGCGTTTCCTCCGCGTAAGGCGAAACGGGACGAACCGCCGACGGCGGAAATCCAAAAAGCAGCCGTTGTCGCGGCGGCGTCTTTCTCGGCGCATCACGTGGGAAACGTCGGGAGCCGCGTTGCATGCCGTATCGCACATGCATTGCACCGGTTGGTCGACGCGTCCTTATTACGTCGACTTTTCCTACGGAGTATCTATTAATTCGCTAGATTGCACGCGCGAGCGTGTGCGATGGAGAAGGGATGACCGGGGGGAGGAGGGGGGGGGGACGCTGGAAAAGGACGAGTGACGATTTTCATGCCGTTCCTCCCAGGTTGATATATATGCGCGATTAGTATCGCTCCGGAACGGTGAGCGGGAAAAGGCGGGAAGCTCTCGAGGCCAAGGCAGAAAAACCAGACGGAGAATCGGCAAGAATGTTTGCGAGGAAGGTCGCTTCTCGCTTATTCCACCGTGCTCCAAAATTGCCGCGTATCGCTTTCGATATCGATAGGACGCTGGAAGTTCGAGCGAATCGCGGCGACGACGACGACAGCGGCCGTGGCGGCGGCGGTGGCGTTCGATATTGAGAGAAGGCGGGAAAAGGCGTCGCGTCGATCGGATAACGCAGTTATGGATCGATGTGCCAGCCAGCCAGAAATAACTTATTGCATTTAATGGTTATCATCCACGTCTCATGGGCGCTCGATTTCACGCGCGCATATACCTCTTTATCGTTTAATTATCTTAATTAGACGCGGCTAAACATTTCGAACGTCGCGCCGCGGACTAAATTGATCGCTCTGCTCCTCACTCGACCGTTTTCCCCGATGTTTTCTCCGTCATTCGGAACGAGGTCATTACGATCGGAAGAAATTCGGCGCTGGGTAGTCTTCTGGGAAAAGCGGAACCGCGCGCGCGCGCGCGCGCGTTCTCTCGCGGTGACCGCGTGCGCCGATCTCGCTTGATAATCCATCGATGCGGTTCACAAACGTCACGCGGTAATTACGTAACGGATGTTCATCGGCATTGATCGGCGCGGTGAAGAAATTGCACGAGAATCTATGCGATAGGTTTAGCAGCGTTGGGTTATCTGGCGAGACCTCGTGATTGGGAATGAACAGATAGGTAATCGCGCGCGGGGATAACGAGCGGCGTCGGGCATCGTCGTCGAGCAGAATATAACGCTGTCATCCGTGTCGGGAACACGAATGCTCGCGAGAGAGTAAGCGCGCGGTGGCTGCGAGTTATCGGCGAATTCGAAGTAACGCGCGCATCAACCCGCCGATCGAGTTTCCATTGTTTATAGACTCGTCGCCGGTAACCGATCCTTTCATTAGCATTTTATCGCAACAGGTCGATTCCTCACACGGCGATACAATTACTCTAGGCAAACCGAGCGTGGAGAGGGGGTGGGGGGG